ACTTTTGAAAGAAATGAGGATAGCACTTCCAAATAGACAGCTTGGAAGTCGAATCATGCTCACTACTCAAAAAGTAGACATAGCCTTCTATTCTTTTGGAGTAGAAAGCCATGTTCATCGTATTCAACTGTTGGAAAAGAATGAGGCTTGGGAGCTCTTCAGCAAGAAAGCATTCTCAACTTACCATAATAAACGTTGTCCACCAGAGCTTGAATCATCAGCTTGGGAACTTTTGGGGAAATGCAAAGGCCTAACCCTAGCAATCGTAGCTTTAGGTGGTCTTATGTCTTCCAATGAGTCATCTATGGAGTGGAGAAAAGTCTGCAACAGCATAAATTGGCATCTAATAAATGATCATTTCCTAGAACCTGTGAAGACAATCTTGTTTCTCAGTTTCAACGATTTGCCATATCGACTGAAACATTGCTTCCTATATTGTTCAATTTTCCCAGAAGATTATTTGATTCGAGCAGAAAGGCTTATTAGATTGTGGATAGCTGAAGGCTTCATTGAACATGTTAAAGGGGTCACACTGGAAGAAGTTTCTGAAAGCTATCTTATGGAACTCAATTTTTGTAGCATGTTGCAGGTTGTAAGGTGTCCAACCATAAGACAAGCATGTAAGATGCACGATGTTATGAGGGAGCTTGCTTTGTCCACATTAGAAAAAGAAAAGTTTTGTGTTGTCTATGATGGGAGAGAAGTAATGGAAGAAATCAGAGCTCGTAGTTTGTCAATTCAAACATCTGAAGGAGAAATTAAAGTATGCAAAGGTATGTCGCAGCTTCGTTCATTTCATGTGTTTGTCACTGGTGTATTCTCGCCGTCTATTTTAAGTACATTGCTTTCTCAATTCAAATTGTTGAGGATTCTAGATTTGGAGGATGTACCAATTGAAGAACTGCCTGATGGTCTTATGTACTTATTCAACTTAAGATATTTAAGTTTGAGTAGAACTTCAATTAAAAAACTTCCAGAATCCATAGGACAGCTTTGCAATCTTCAAACCTTAGACATCAGCGACACAGAGATTGAAACACTTCCGAAAGAAATTGCCAAGTTGGTAAACCTACGCCATCTAATTATGTATCGATATAGTGGAGCATCTTGGGAATTTAGATATGCTAAAGGGATTAGAGCACCATCAAATATTTGTATGTTGAAAAAATTGCAAGTTTTGTCATTTGTTGAATCAGACTCAGAAGGAAACTTTTTAAAACTTGTTGGGAACATGACCCAACTTACTCACATTGGCATTACAAATGTAAAAGGAAGTAATGAGATGAACCTTTGTGCTTCCATTCAAAAGATGAAGCTCCTTCGCTACCTGTATTTATTGGTAACAAGTGAAGAGGAATTTCTTCGAATCGATGCACTTGCTTCTCTTCCAGGTCCTCTGCCACACCTTCAAAGGCTTCTTTTGAGCGGCAAACTAGAAACTGTACCAAGTTGGTTTGCTTCACTCAGGAGCCTCACAGATATCAGTCTACGTTGGTCTAGACTTAAAGAAGATCTACTACCACACATTGAAGCACTGCCCTGTCTTAGAAGGCTTATCCTTGTTAATGCCTTTGTTGGGAATGAGTTGTGCTTCAATATAGGCTTTGCAAGGCTCACACATCTGGAGTTGCTTAATTTCCCCTTCTTGAAAAACATAACAATAGAAGAAGGTGTGATGCCGAAACTCCAGTTGTTAATACTTCATTGCTGCATGAAATTAAAGGCATTACCACATGGTCTTGAATTCCTTAGGAATCTAGAAACATTGAGATTGGGGTCTGTTCCGATCAAAATTATAGAAAATATACGAGAAGGAGGCGTGGATCATCCAAAGGTACAACACATCTGCGAAATTGACCAAATTTACAAAACATCATCTGCGACTTCTTCTGCAAGGTGAAAGCTCGCCCCACTATTCTTTCCCCACACCGTAAGTTTTCTGTCCTTCCGTTGACTTTCCAAAGCTTAATCTTCTTAGATCCTTTAACTACTGTTATATAAGCCACTTCTCATTTACAAGTCTGTTATATGTGCATTCATTTTATTTTGATTATGGTATTGCTCTGTCTCGTCATATCCCTTTACAGCCTCAAATTGGAGAAGCATGGTGCACTACTTAATATTTGTATTTTCTGATCAAATGTTGTTTGTGCTGATTAAACAATTCCTAGTGCTTTCACTGCTGATTTTCATTTTAAAATTTTTTTAAATCTCATTAAGAGTGAGTTTTTTTTATTATAATGAGTTTAAATATTGTGCTATTATTACCAACATTATTAGAATTATTATTACTTTTACAATTCAGGAGCTCATAATTCTGGTATCCTTGCAATTATTAATCATATTCTTAAATAATTCAATTGTCTCAGCCATTAATAAAGATCTCAGGCCGTTCAGTGAGGAGTTATCCAAGTTCACAGACTTCAGAACCTGGAAATTATAATGTTAAAATATGGAAAACTTTGATTACAAGTAATGATTCCTCCACAGAACCATATTCATACAACTTGCTTATTTTGTTCTCTTCTTCTTGCTAACTTATTTGTAAATGGAGTAGGCAGGGTTTTCATTTTCTTCCTGATTGCACCATTCCCCTGCCTTGCATTGTTATTATACTCTGACTATGTTGAAAAAGTCTTCAAATTAGTAGCAGAATGAATTGTCAATTGCTCACAAATCATATTAAAACCTTAAATTCATAACTCAATTTAAAAGGCAATATATTTTAATAGAAGGATGGAGTGGACTTATACTAGCCAACTTCCACTAAATATGTCTTGCTTTTTTCAGGCTATCAGGCAAGAATGCGAATGGAATTAGCAATGATGTCGCATCTCTCTTCCTTGAGTGCAATCTATTAGAGGGGATGGTCTTGCAAAAAAATTTCGTCAACTATGTTATTTTGATCAAACAAATTTAAAAGGAATACAAGCAAGTTCATGTTTTTCCCCATACAATTATACGTGTTCCACGATTGTTAAAAGTTTTCCAGAGCAGCAGAAGATGATTATCAATGTACAAGTAGAGGAAACTCTCAAAATCAAATTGAGCATTAGATCCTGATTAGTGCTTCTTAAGTCATTACATAATCAAATAGCAAACACACTCACGAATTAAATTACATAAGATTCCATAGTCTCAAAGCAAAACTCACTAATGATCAAATGGCTTCAAATAAAACTTGGGATAGTGATGGAAAATAATTAAGATTTGCAGCCTCGCACAAGACAGCAAGGGTTCTTCTAGGCGCAACCGGGTAAAATCTTTCTTTCAGTCTCATACGTCAAAACTTCTGCATGGCAAACAACAAAAGTGAAATGATAATCAAACAGAATTTCAATACAAAATTCTTGTGCTATCGAAACTAACTATTGCAGACCTTTAGTCCATGGACAAAAATACATGGCCTTAACAAACTTGTGGATGACAACAGTTC